TAAATTATAATAAACTTATATATATATATATATATATATATATATATATTCCAGCTCGAAACAAAAACTCCCTTAGATGAAACACTCTCGTCCTAGAAGGTCTTGGATGACCAATACGTAAATATTAAGGCTAAGGCTTGCGAGGTGGGCACTGGTAACATTTGGTGAATAGACCAAAGGTGTCTATCTGGCGAACAAAATTGACCATACTTGCCCATCCTCCGAACCCGAACCCAACGACGAACACCCAAACCACTACAAATATGTTTATGCAATAAGTACCCATCCATCCTCCTAGCACGCGTGGCGGTCTCTCCACTGCGTTCTGTTCACGATGTACACAAGTTTAAATTAAGTAGATGACCTATCCCAAAAATCAATAATCATATAGATGTGTTAAGGCCATCTCCTACGATGTCTTTAGTCGAGTTTTTAACCTTTTTTAAAATAAAATGAAAGAAAAGAATGTCTACTGAATCTCTCCATTAGTTTATCACGTTATAGTTGGTTTAACTTCTTTTACATCACTTTTTATTTAATTATATAATTTTATTGTGTTAGAAAATATTGTTATCATAAAGTACCAATGAATCTCTCCATTGAAGCTACTATAAAAAAGACCATATGATATTTTTTTCACACAAATTAAAATGGTATAACACACCTTCCATTTTTCTATATATAATATAAAAGTATTAAATAGTGGTAGAAATGTGAAATCTAGCAAAATTTATAAATGAGATTCTCTAAACAATGTTTGTTAGGAATCTAGTATCTTCAATAAAACATAAACAATATGAGAAATCCATTAACAATGTTTCTAATGAAAATAATAAATAAAATGATAATATGTGAAAAAAAGGAAAAAAGATCTAACCTCTCTGGAAGGGGCAGGAGCAAAAGTAAGCATGTGAGCCAAAGCAGGGATGATGTAGACAGTGAAGCTGACTAGGAGAGATCCGACCGCTGAATTGATTGGTCCGAAAAAGGGGAAGATAATGGCTAAGAACCATATGGGTAAAACCACAGGTAACCTAGCCATGGCTCTTTTGAACATGCTCTTCGACTCATGTACACCTATCAGTTTCTCCCACACAAAATACAACGGTGTAGACGCAAATCCAAACGTTATAAACTGATGGATAAGCATAAGGATCACGGCGGTATCTCTAAAACCGGACTTAGGGAGGAGAGAAAGTGCATTGGAATGAGTTAACAATTGATCGCCAAACGCCCAATAAACCGCAGACGCAGAAGGTAGCGTTAGCGTTAGTACGTAGATAGTCGCTAGTAGATATATCGCCTTGAACTTTTGCGGTTTCCACATGGCATGCATTATCTCCCTATTTACATATTATATGATTCAATTAATAAAACATTGAGCAACTTTTTAGTTTATGTACTAATAAGAGAAAGTGCTTACACGGTGACGGCATGACCACCGAAGGTGTAGAGAATGTTAGTGGCTCCAGTGAAGTAGAGAACCATTGTGGTCGGACCCGAATGTTTAACATCATCAGCCTTCATAAAAAAGGTTAAAAGTAAATAACAGTAACCAGGACTATGTATTATACAAAGTAAACACGATTTTGTTTATTAAATCAAATAACCTGGCCGTGAAGTAGAGAAGCAATGGTGAGGTACCAAGAAGTGTAAGTGGTCATAGCTAGTCCCAGGAATGACCAGATTCTATAGTTATGAAACGAAGGAATAAAAACAGTTGTTGCACAACATGCTCCAAATATGTATGTCCATGTCCTCTTGTCCAATTTATCATTGATATAATATATATTGCTGCAAATTATTCAATACTATTATATAAATATCAATTGTATCCCAAGTCAAAAAGAAAACAACTTTACCTAATAAAAAAAATAAAAAGAAGTAATATATTAGTGTACCTAGCACAAGCAATGAGTTGAATAACGGATCCAAAGAGTAGGAAAGTGCAATTAAATATTAATCCAATGTTCCTCCAGTGTTTCCCCAGCAATCCATCCAACACCTCAAACCACTGGAAATTAAAACTAGAATTAGCAAAACAAACATAAATATAATTGTAATTAGTTATAACGAATTAGTGAAATAAACCTGAATAACGTGGTTACGGAAATCGAATTTTTCTCGTTCTTTACGAGTTCGATACTCAACGTAGAGAACACTAATGAGATAAGCAGTCCAGCTTCCCAATAGTCCATAAAAGAGTTGAAACAAGATTCCCGACATCATCCCAAGTTGTGAGAATGAGTATGGTAAAGTCAACAGTACTTGTGCGACCTGTGAATTACAAGTTAAGAGACGAATATACATAGCATATATTATACCATAATATTATAGTTTACCTGGTTTGAAGCACAGCTAAACCAAGCATCGTAGACAGAACCTCCATGCCAAAAGAAGTTAGAGAGTTTTGTTTTAGCTGAAGACTTGTTATTACTATTACTTATGTTTGATTCTTCTTCTCTCTCCATTTCTAAGTAGTTCCCTGCGATCACTGTCTCTATCTTCTCTGCCGCCATGATCACTCCTTCTTCTTCTTCTTCTTTACTCAGTTTCTTTAGCTTCTCTCTTCCACTCTTTAAATAGAGTTTCTCTTTTTCTTTTATTTTTCTAAGAATTAAGGCTTAGGTATGATATGATTGGTTGGTGAGAGAGTTATGTCACCTGGTTGTGACTATTACTGTTTTCGGCGAGCGTGGATTGGTTATTTTAATGGGCTTGATATGATAGTTGGGCTTATGGGCCATATCTCATGAGCACTACACGAGCGGGTAGGCCCACTTTAGGATTGTTAATTATATTTTGACCCTGATATTATGCGAAAAAGAGGGTACACTAGTTATAAAGGTTTGCAAAAATTAAAGAGAGACTAGACTAATTATACGTTGATAATATGGAAGCGACGATAATGATGATTTGTTTCTTCTTTTTAAAGAAAGGATGTATTAACAATTATTTTTCAGTCATGATGATTGTAACAACTAGAAACAATGAACAAAACATATTGGTCCTTTGGGAGTAAGGAAAGAAGGTAGCGATCTAAATGTATAACAATAATCAGTTATATTTCTAAGTTTTCATGTTTTGTCCGATTATATAGTGTAGCTGTTGCCTGTTAATTGGAACTTGTAAAATACATAAAACCACGCCCTTGTCTAGCATATATTGTACCACACATATCCAAAAGCTTGATTTTGACGTAGAAATGATAGTAAAAATTTAAGAAACGTGATTTATGAGGTTGATCGAGGATTGGGAATGGATCCAATGGAAAGAATGATTGCTAATCAGGTGGGATCATTAGTGCTAAACATAATTACCACACGTGTCTAGCTGTCTTAGCCTTATTTAACTTTCTTTTTAGCCATAACTTTTACGATGGATCGAACTATTAATGGGTAGGAATCATCATTTTTACATCTTTATTGCTTTTCTAACCCGGGCCAATATGGATGGTAGCGGAAAGGAAACTGATCACTAATTTACATAAAATCTATTCTTTTTTCTCTCTCTTTTTTTTTTTGGTTATTGATACATAGTAGGGGTGGGACGGATCGGATATCCGGGGTATTTTGGGATATCCGGATCCGGATTCGGATTCGGCGGATCCGTAAAATTGATATCCGGATCCGGATTCGGGCCTTCCGGATATCCGGACTAAAACTCGAATACCCGCGGATATCCGGATCCGTTTTTAAAAAAGAAAAAATTTAAAAAAATCAAAATTAAATTTAAAATTTTAAAATTAAACATATATTTATTCAATTACAAATTTATGTTTTTGCAAAAAAGTTTAAAAAACTAATAAAAAATTAATAAAACTAAGTTTTAGATATTTTAATAAAAATTATATATAATATATCTATATAAATTTAATTATATTTTAAATATTTTAAAAATATTTAGTGGGTCCGGATCCGGATCCGGATATCCGGACTAAAATTTTCACTATCCGGATCCGGATCCGGATTCGCCGGATCCGCAAAATCACTATCCGGATCCGGATCCGGACCCCCCGGATATCCGTTTTTTCGGAGCGGATCGGAACGGATCCCGGATCGGATAGCGGATAGCGGATATTAAGTCCCAGCCCTAATACATAGTGTGTTTATAGTTCTCTTTTACTTATAGGCTCTCTAATCTTAGAAGAAATAAATGTTATTAGAGCGAGGGTTAGGATATCATTGATCATAAGATTGATTGGAAGTACCAAGTGATTGCAATTAATCAGGGATTCATTACCTACTGGTTAATTGGTGCAAATGATTTCCATAACGACTAAGATTGTGGGATTTGTTTAGAACTTATCTTAGTCAGAGGAAATTAACAAATACACTATCGCTTTAATGACATGAGATGAATTGATGAACACCTTATTCAGAAAGCAAAATTGTGAGAATGGGTCGATAATTGAGTCGTTTGAGCTCGAACTCAATGGGCTAAATGACCCATTAACTATGCCTATTTATATTCTTGGATGAATTGTTTATGCTAAGGACATGGAAGGCTAATATAAGCAAGATAACATGCTAATACCGATCAAGAAAACTATTAAATTTGTAAAGAAACTAAAAGATAAAATCAATATATATACACCTTTTTTTAATCTAAGTTTTTTTTTTGAAACACTACATTTTTAATCTAGTTTTTTTTTTACTAACTTTGAATTATTTTTATATAGGTACACATAAATATAGAGATGCTCATATAATTATAAATCTTCCAACCTTTTGGACTTGATTACCTTAGCTAACAAAAACATCCCAAAGGATACTTGCATGAAAGCATCAGGAAAGGAATAACACTAACTTTCCCAAGTTCCCAAACAAGAAACCTTATTTGGAAACACATATAGAGTTAACTTGTTTTAGGGTTTTACAGAACTTTAAACTATTATTATAACCTGAGATATAGACTCTCCATGCAAGTTATTCTCTATCCCTCCCTTAAAAAGCCAAAATCTTATCTCAGTAATTCTCCGTAACCCAACCAAACCATACACGGACCTAGAAATGTGATATTCTGATCGTTAAATAATCTTTCCAAGTAAAGATGCAACTTCGTTTCAATTTGTCACCAAAAATCTTGTTACTAATTCTCACATTATTATCAGGTAATTATCCAATATTCATACATTTTCTTAATCGTAAATCAGGTTTTCATCTCCATATAGGTATATACATATGTATTCATCATTTATTATATAACAGAAATCTCACCAATTAAGTTAATTGAATTAAAACTATAACAATTAATTTTATTAATTTGGATTTTTATTTGGCACATTCTATCATGGATTTATATCCGTTACTTAAATAATAAAGTTTGAATAATGATTAGAACTCTCGAGATTATTTAACCTACAGGGACAAAACGGTCGGAATCAGCTCGAGTATTCACGATAGTAAACTCATGTGACCAAACAATATGGCCAGCGATAGCACCCGGAGAAAACTTCAACGGAGGAGGATTCGAGCTCAAACCGGGCCAATCCATAGTCTTCAACGCACCAGTAGGCTGGTCAGGTCGAATATGGGGACGAACCGGCTGCAATTTCGACCAAACCGGAACCGGAACATGCGAAACCGGTTCATGCGGTTCGACACTAAAATGCTCTGCCTCTGGAAAACCACCAGCTTCACTCGCTGAGTTCACACTAGCCGCACTGGATTTCTACGACGTGAGCCTCGTAGACGGATACAATCTCCCCATGTCGGTGACTCCGATGAACGGAAAAGGAAACTGTAGTGTCGCCGGTTGCGTGGCTGACTTGAGAACAAAGTGTCCGCCGGAGCTGGCCGTGAGATCTAAGGGGAAAGTGGTTTCGTGTAGGAGTGCTTGTGATGTGTTTGATAGAGATGAGTATTGTTGTAGAGGAGTTTATGGGAATCCTGTTACGTGTCGACCAACTTATTACTCGAAGTTGTTTAAGGAAGCTTGTCCTACTGCTTATAGCTATGCTTATGATGATCCGACCAGTATCTTTACTTGTTCCGGCACTGATTACGTCGTCTCTTTCTGTTCCTCCAAGTTTGTGTCTTATCCCTTATTCTCCTTTTGGTGTTATATTTATTTTTATTACGTTTATATTTTAATATATTGTAGTTTCCATTAATTTTAAAACCAAGAAAACACTAGTTTCTATAATATTTTAACATTTAAAAGAAAATAATAACCTTAAGTCTGAAACCCATTTTTTCATTTAGTACATTTGTTTTTGTTATAGTTTAAAACCAAAAACATTAGTAATATTTGTGTTTTCATGTATCATTTTCTGCTCCAGTAATCCTTTGCTAGTTTTAAATTTAGAGGTAACCAAACAATCTTTGCTAGTTTTGATTCTGTATCTCTTATGTTTTTGTATGTTTTTTTCTTTTTATTATTCAAGATGGTTTATTAGGTTGAAATGTTTTATGTATATATAGGAAGAAACCGGTGTGCACGTACCATGATAACAAGTTGGCATGCAGCGATGGTTCTGGTTTTGGTGGATTCAGCACGATGACTAGGAGATTGTGGCTTGTATTGATATTGTCTATTTTTGCTTTTAGCTACTCTTAACTACTTAATTTTAATTCTTGACTTCGTTTTTAGATAAAAGCAAGTTCTTTTTTCTCGAGGAAAAATCCTCATTTTTTTTTGTATTAGTTTTCATGTGGTGATAAAGCTAATTTCAAAGTAAGTACAAGGTTGATATTGTGTGTGATAATGCAATTCAAATGTCTCTCCTCTGGACTCCAAGTAAAATTCATAAAACTGCAGGTCACATTCCAAGAAAAATATAAATAATGAGTGTAAAATGTAAATAAATCAAAACTTACATTGGGCCTTAAAATAGGCCCAAATAAATGGTTGGAATATTATCTAGCCCACACACGAATCGAAAGTCATTAGTACGCGTCGTTGAAACGCGAGGAACAAAAACAAAAGCGAATCGAGAAACGCCATTTTCACATAAGTCTAGCTTGATCTCCTCTCATCGCCGGAACACACATGGCTACTGGTGGCAAAGTATCCTTCAAAGTCACTCTCACTTCGGACCCTAAGCTTCCGTTCAAAGTGTAAGCGCGAATCGTTTACTTTTTTTTTTCAATTTCCTCGTGAATTGTGATTTGATTGATTTGAATTTGCAGATTCAGCGTACCAGAGGGAGCTCCGTTCACGGCGGTTCTGAAATTCGCGGCAGAGGAGTTCAAGGTTCCTCCCCAAACCAGCGCCATCATCACCAATGGTAATTAAAAACACCGTCTCATTTGATTTTTTTTTTCGAAATTAATCGGCATCGAGAATTGAATTGATAAATTTGGAGAAATTGAATTTGAAATATGTTCTCTTTGATCAACTCATAAACTAATTGTGTTGTTTAGACCAAACAGTGATTTGTGTTACTTGTTGTGTTCTGTTCGGTTTCATGTTCCATATGTTTGTGCGGTCACAAGAACTCTCTTTATATATTCATTGCATGTAACTCTCTTTAAAAATTGAATCTTTTTAGTGTCAAAAGATGTAAAGGGATTGAGTTTGAACAAACATTAGTATTCTATCAATTTTTTTAGAGCTGTGGTTTAATGACTTTTAATCCATGACTTGCTGATGTAACTGTGTATTCATGTGTGCAGATGGGATCGGGATCAATCCCCAACAGAGCGCTGGTATTTCAATAACCCTCAACATTTTTTCTTTTTTTTTGGCATAAAAGATTACTCGTGCGCTCTTTCTATTTCGTTTGCTTTTATTTGTTTGTGTACCTTATTGTGAGCTAAATACTGTCAGTCTCTAAAGTTGCTTCATTAAGTTAATGTGTGTTTGTGTTGTGTTTGATGTCAGGAAACGTGTTTCTGAAGCATGGATCTGAACTTAGACTCATCCCGCGTGATAGAGTTGGAGCTGCGTTTTAGATATTGATCTATGAATCTTGTAACCAATGAGGCAATGAGTCCAAAAACATATTAAAAACTTAAAACATATTAAAACGGTTATTGTACAACTTCGAATAAATATTGTGATGTTCACATCCTCTTAGACAAGCAAGTGAACTGGTTTTGGTTTAATCCTATATCTTTCTGGTCTGATTCATGGTTATGAAGTTACATTTATATCGCCTATGAATGTATAACTTCAATCTGTATAAGTCTTTCATTTGCTCATTTGGCTAGCGATTCGTTTATTTTTGTCAAATCTTTATGCGCGTTTACGCTGGTTACATCTGGTTGCACACTCTAGTCAAACATTATTGGATCCTTATCGAGCCGTTGATTTATTGTCGATGATGCCTATAGGCTCAAGTTATCCCCAATAATACTCGATATTTTCGTTTCAGTATAGCCCCAATCACCTTAATGGGCTTACATTATAATAACCTGGCCCACACAAAAAAAGATAAGCGGCAATGAGGAGTTCGAATCTAAACACATCCTTTAAGGGTTTGCCTCCAAGAATTTCAATTCTTCGTGTCTAATCTGGAGAGATACTTGAATGTTTTTTTTTTTGTGTAAATGTTAAGAAGATATTTCTTATTGTTTTAACTATAAATAGATACGTCACACTTTGACCTAAATTGCAAATACCTTCCATTTTAAAACGTTTCGTGCATCCCACGTAAACCTCGCATCTCCTCCAAATTTCCCTCTCCCTATGTCTCTCTCTCTACTCACAACCACCGGTTAAATTCTTAACCTAATCTCTCTAACTCTTTCCCTAACAATGTCTTCTTCTCCACTCCCCTCCAAATCCAACCCAACGACACGATCCATTTCCTTAAACGTCCCACACTCATCTCGTCCAACTCGCAACCACGATCTCCGCTACAGCCTCTCCGCTGGTCCTCGTACGAACGAAGATCGTCCACAATCTGGAAACGGCGTCGCGGGAATCCTCTACAAATGGATAAACTACGGCAAAGGATGGAAACGACGCTGGTTTGTTCTCCAAGACGGTGTGTTGTCTTATTACAGGATCCACGGTCCGGATAAGATCTCTCTCTCCGTGGAAATGGATCGGAGATCGAAGCTTATCGGCGGTGAGTCTTTGCGGTTTATTTGCCGCCATAGCAAACGTGGTGATGCTCATAGTCCTGGCAAACCGCTTGGTCAAATACACCTCAAGGTTTGTATTTATTTGAGAATAACTTAGTAGTTTATAAAATTATGGAATGCATGCTAAATGTTTAATAGTAATCTTAAATAATGTAGAGAGATTGTATAACCATTTATAAAATAGTTGAGCATTACCTGATTTTTTTGAAGGTTGCAATTGATCATGTGTTTGGTTTTGAATTTTTTCTTTATACATCTTATGTTAAAGATTAAGACTATCTCTTACCCACTTTTATATTTTTATATATTACAGAGATAACTTTTGCTTCAATATCCATGAATAAAAATAGTAGTTATAATTTTACAAATATATAGAATTTTTTACTATAGAGTCTAGAGATATAACAAAACTCACATCTACAATAGAGTTTTTTTTTAAGGGGAAATTTATAGGTGGGTTTGGTATATGCTCTAAAAACTACACTCTCAACTGCTCATGTGATTTTCATAGTCTAGAAAAATGTCTCCACCAAAAATGTCTCCACTGTTAACCAAAAGAAAAAGAAAAAAAAGAAAAAATGTCTCCACCAAATTTATATCAGAGTAACGATTTACTTGGGGTTCTCTGGTATTCTCAAAACATTTCAGAATAGCCCAAACTTTTATAATTATCAAATGCACTTACAATTGCATATATTTTTTTTAAGAATCTTAGGTTTTTTTAATAGGTCTCATCAATCGGACAAAGTATATCAGACAGCAAGAGATTTACTGTATTTACTGGTACGAAGAGTCTGCATTTACGAGCAGCAACAAGTGAAGATCGTACAGCTTGGATCGAAGCTTTGCATGCTGTTAAAGAAACATTTCCAAGAATGTCAAACGAGGAACTAATGGCAACTACAACTAATGTATCGGTTTCGACCGATAAGCTAAGACAAAGGCTAATGAAAGAAGAAGTTGACGAGACAATCATCAAAGAATGTGAAGATATAATGAAAAACAATTTCATCGCATTGCATAATGAGGTCATGACGCTTAAACAGTACCAGTGTCATCTTGTGGATACTCTCAAGAACGTTACTAGTGTCACAGAGCTCGAGTAACAGTTTTTGTATGAGTTATCTATCTTGTCATTTTGGTTTATCATCAGATGATGCTTTTTTTTTTTCATCTGATAGATTAATATTAGATCGAACAAGAGAGAGATTACACATCAGATGATGCTATAAACTTGTTTTTTGCATGATAATAAAATGTCATAAGATTTACATGATTTTCATTTCTCACTTTTATGCTAATTCTAGTGTGATTCATAGTCCATTTAGATAAAAGTTTAGCTGTTATTGTATTTCAAAAGAAATATTTTATAATACAAAACAAATCTCGAATTCAAAGTATTCAATAAAAAACATCGGATGGAATAACATGCACATCGACCAAATATTAAAAGAATTCAACAATTTAATGAAAATAACATAACTCGTAATCTAAAAGTATATATATATGGATATGAAAGAACAAACTATTAATAGTATATACCTGTAACAAGCTACTAATAATCATATATTACATACTATATAATATATAATATACAATATATATATTAATGAAGCCAGTGCGTGTACTAATTCGGTTGGGCATTCATGTTTCAATCTTATGAGTTTGTAAACGTTTTCAATACATTTTTGTAATTATATAAAGTAGTCGTTAGCTATATGCACCGTCAAGGAATTAATATAATGCATGAAAAACGCTACGCAGTGGACACGAACTCACAACTTATGAATTAAAATTATTTTACAAATCATCCAATGTACTCAGCAGGCACATATTTAAAAGTTTGAATATATAAAATTGTATAATATAAAAACATATGACAATAACAGAAGGCAGCAAACATCAAAATAAATAAATTTGGTTAAATCTCTCTGCCAACAATGAAGAAGCTTTTGTATGGCGGAAAATGAATGAAGCAGAAAACTACCAAAACTAGGAGCATGGACTTTCCCTTTCAAGCTTACACGACAAAGAGACGTATACGTAGTTTCTAACAAATTAAAATCCATTAACACGTAAGTCCAATTAATAATTTATTCAAATTACTAGGACTGGATAAAAAAAAGAATACAATATAAATGTATTCGAACTTCAAGTTCAACGCGATCTCTCCATAACTCAAATAAATTTACAAAAAATGGACAATGCTTTAAATACGGTGTACTATCTTAAATTCATTGAACATTACTACGTTACACCTCTCTTTGTGATTCGTTGTTAAATACAGAACGGAACAGAATAGATACTAGAAAACAAAACATCCACGTACTTTGAGTCAAGAGTTGCTGCGGTTCTGACATCGTGTTAAAAACTACCCACACGTTGAACCAGTTGTGAATGTAATAAAAAAACTTAAATAAAAGTTGTTCGAAATTGTGAAATAAACTGAGAATATTTAATGGTAAAGAAGGATGAGTTTGGTAATATATGGAGTGACATGACGTTGGTGTAAGGCTCATTGAGGAATGGGCTTTGATTCTCCATCAGAAGAAACGAAACATCGTTACATCAATATCTGAGCTCGACCCTCTTCATTTCAATCCATGCTTTAGTTGCATACATCAACATCCTCTCATAAATATTTTATTGTAAACTTTTTTTTGAACAAATTCAAATCGTGGTGTGACTAAACGGTAATAGTATATTTCTAGTTTCTCTCGTTGGACAATAACCTAGTTTAAGTTGCATGTAAAAAAAAATCACACTACAGTTATAACTTACAACTCCTGGTCACACAGAAGCAGACCACATTTAAACCATAGTTGAAACTTGAAACAACATGTCCGAATTGTTATGGATATGGGGAGAAAGGACTTGTGAGTCTTCGTTTTGATGCGTACGTTATAGGTCGGCGGACGGCTATCTAACTTATCTGGTCATCCATCTTCGCTGTCTTTTTCCCTTCTAATTCTTTTCACCTTACTGTTTTATTTATTGTTTATATATTTTTCTTGGTCAACAAAATTATAACTTTCACGAAGAAAATCCTCATTTCTATTTTCTTGTTTAACAATATTATTTTGAAATGATTTGACTCTTATTTTATAAATGTAAATACTTGAATTTTCAATGGACTAGTGTTTTGGGTTTATATGCTTTGTTTAATTTCTAAATATAGCTGCGTTAGTTGTTCTATTATATAAAAATATTTTTCTCCTAAGTACAATTATTTTTCAATTCATTTCTATATTTATTTTATAATAATATTGAGAAAAAAATATACAAAAATCGTTTTTTAACTTAGGTGATTATTTTCGATAGTAAATATTTTTATATGTTTTCTAGTATTGATGTACATGGGAAAAAGCTATAAATCTACTATAAAAAATTATGTTTGAAATTTGTAAAATACATTGAAAACAATCTAGAGTCGATTCCCTTTTATATTTGAATTTGGTTGTATTTTTATTATTTTGTATGTAATGATGTAACATCTTATATATAAATAAAATAATTAAGAAAAATAAAAATAAGGATTTGCCTTACACATTAAAACTTTGGGAGAAAAAGTGAAGATGGAATGAGCAAAATGAAAGGAAAAAAAAAAAGTTTTACACCAAAAAAAAATGAAAAGAAAAAGACACTGGCCAACAGTGTGTTAGGTAGATGACTAAATATGGCAAATTACATGTACAGAGAGTGCAAATTCTCAACAATCTAATCCTTAATGTGGTTTAAAACGTAAAATTTTCCAAGTTTTATGAGTTACAAAAAAAAAATTCTCCAAGTTTTACGAGAGTTCAAATTAATAATGACCGAAGCACGTGTGGAACAAAGTTACTGCACGTGATTACTCAGAGAAAAATATTCGTAGGATCTTTGACGCCAGGCGGGGACAGATGGTTACTTTCCTATTAGATTGCGATTACGTGGTTCTAATCTTAACCGCTAAATCTCTCAGCACGTGGCACCGTCTATGTCGTTGGATTCTTCGTAGACGACGATATTAGGTGGGCCGTGACAGCCCATTATCAAATGTAAATGTGCCAGCTCAGCTCGATTCGTTCCAACTGTATGGCTTAGACCTTCGCCTCCCCTACTCATTGAAGTTTTTTTTATAGTATAAGATATGTAACAAAGATAATGACGCGTAATTAGATTTAATTATTTTCTATTCGCAGTTTAGAGTCATTTGTCTCTTGTCATACCTGTCTCTAATTTTATTTTCCCGAATCATGGCGAATCAAAATCTAATACGATAAAATATATTTTAATGAAATTCTTACAAGGTCGCTCAGTCATGCAATAATAGTTGATTAATTATAAAGGGAGAAGAGAATTAGTAGTCTCCTGCATTATTAAAATACATTCATTTATTGCAGTTAACCAATAATAAGCTATTGAATTATTTAGCAATATAGCTCTATCTGACAGCATGAGATCCCAATCTTATTTGATTGCTGGTGAGAAGGATGCATTGTATATTACTTCGTGTTTATTACACCTTTTAGGGTTGAATAACCTTCGTGTTTATTTAAAATTTTTTTTTATAATTTACAATGAATATCATGCAAATTACCGGTATCCATTATGCTCGTTTTTTTTTTTGCTAAAATTTGGATTATGCTCGTTTCTTAAATAATTTTTTTTTCTATTGTTGCATAATCAATACCTTTTGTTTTCAAAATTTATAAATATTTTCGTATATCGTTACACATAATTACTCAATGGCACGTCTAGCTAGTTTTCTTTAGTGGCACTTTGAGCTAAAGTCTTACTACAATCCCATAAATTAAGGGTACAAATGTAGGTGTACTGAAACTTGAATGCTGATGACCGACCTATAAAAAGAAAAATTACATGATAAAATCACACATGAAAAGAAAGTCTTTAAATTCCATCATGTATCTATATCAAACATTATCACCCATTTTAACTAATTTATTCCATTCGGGCTGATAATTGGTCACTGTTATTATAGTAGTATTTAATTGTTGATTATTGTTTTTAAATGAAGATAAACACAACTAATCATTTGGTCTTTTACGTGGGTATCACATTACATCCATACAACGTAGGGCACGCCGACACTAATTAAAAAAATTATATTAGTCTTTGCGGATTGTATTTTAGAAAGAAAAACTCTATCAGTACGTAGCAGTTTTTGATTAGGGGGACATGTGACCATATAATAAACCAACGAACATATTTAAGTTTCAAGATAAAAGATTTTTAATGATTATATTTTTCGTCAGTGATGAAAACCCGTAGCCGACGGCAATCAGCTACTAATTAAAGACGGTTTTAAAATTTTAATACGATGAGATTAACCGAACTAAAAAGATGTTTTCATATATTTACACACGCACTCACGAATGCATATATATATGTATACCATGATTAAGTGTTTGACGAGTGAACAGTTATTTTGGTGTGCTCATTTTGGTGAACAGTTGTTGGACTTATGAATGTGTGGTATTTCACAAGTGAACGATAACGTTTTTCCATTATTATGTTTATATTAAAAAAACCAACATCAGACATTCGTATTTTTAACTGAAACTGAGTATTCATCATAACCAAGAACAACGGTTTTGTTTTGTTATAGTAATTTTATATACTATAACCAGAATAAAACCATACTAATTGATATACATCTATTTTGTAAAAAACTTTCGTTTTTTGTCACTAAGTCAGTTATTTTTTTTTTTGAGTGATTAATGTCGTTATTTTTTTTCTGTTTGCAGGTCAAAACAAGTAGTGCCGCATACAGAAAAAAGAAAACATATACATAAACTCTGTCAGGTGATTATTGTTTTTATTGGTTAAATATTTTTCTAACTAAATTTATTTAATATTTTAATTTCAATATAAATAATACAGTTTCCAAGAGCTGTAGTTGCCTTATTAATATTCATTTAATTACCAACTGTGTTAGATATTTTTATCTAAACTCTTGAAATGTAACTGTATCCTGTAATATTACTATTACCTTTCCCAAATCCCGTAATTACTTGAGTCAATAAATTGGTAATAACAACGCGACTTTTTTTGGCGGGCTAGTGGGCTTTTTGTGTCCACTTCCCAATGCATACTTCTCTCCCTCTCAAATAAATTTTACAAATCTACCCCTAAATTAACTAATTTCTCATTTTTAAAGCTATCTCTCTCACTTCTCTCTCTCCATCTTTATCCTTTTCCTTTTGATGCTTCATTCTCCCTTTTCATTTTCCTCTCTGTATCAAAAAAAAAAACTCTCACCCAAGCTTTCTTCTCAGATTTCAAATTAAAAAAAAAACACTAATCTCTACCAAGTGTAATAATCCGTTTCATTTTTCCGACAGATCTAACCAAATAATCTCCGAATGCCGTTACAAAGATCGAGAGAGAGTGTTTATCTAATGAACAGATGATGCGTGAGCCGCTCGTGAGCGAACCAGAACTCCCAAACGACGTCGTACTACCCGAAGCTACTCAACTTCTACTAACCACCACCAAAAACGCCGCCGTTTCGCAAAACCTTCTAGAATCATCATCAGAAGAAGCAACAGAGAGACGAGACGATCTGTTACTCCTCTCCCTCACCCCGATGGTCCGATCCAAATCCCAAGGCGCGACCCGGCGCGTGACTCCCACGCCACCTCCCCCCGACGTCGAGAAGCCTCTCCCCAACGGGGATCTCTACACCGGCACCTTCTCCGGCGGCTTCCCCAACGGATCCGGCAAATACCTCTGGAGCGACGGGTGTATGTACGAAGGCGAGTGGAGACGCGGCAAGGCCAACGGCAAAGGCAAGTTCTCGTGGCCGAGCGGCGCCTCCTACGAGGGCGAGTTCAGGTCCGGGAGGATGGAAGGCTTCGGCGCCTTCGTCGGCGCCGACGGCGACACCTACCGGGGGCACTGGATCGCGGATCGGAAACACGGACACGGCGAGAAGCGCTACGCGAACGGCGACTTCTACGAGGGCGCGTGGAGGAGGAACGCGCAGGACGGGAGGGGGCGTTACGTGTGGAGGAACGGGAACGTTTATAAAGGGGAGTGGCGTAACGGCGTGATTAACGGGAGAGGTTGTTTGGTGTGGCCTGACGGAGACCGTTACGAGGGGGTGTGGGAGAACGGTGTGGCGAAAGAGAGTTTGTTAGAGGGGGTAATTGAGAAGAGGAAGAGGTCAAGTGTGGATAGTGGGGAGAAGGTGGTGTTTCCTAGGATATGTATATGGGAGTCAGATGGGGAGGCGGGGGATATTACGTGTGATATTGTGGATAATGTGGAAGCTTCTGTGATTTATAGGGATTTGTTGTGTGTGGAGAGGGATGGGTTTAGGCAGTTTAGGAAGAAGAGTCCTTGTTGTTTTAGTGGTGAGGCTAAGAAGACTGGGGAGACTATCTCTAAAGGGCATAAGAAGTATGATTTGATGCTCAACTTGCAACATGGTATCAGGTAAAAATTTGTTTAAATCATTATAATTCTGTTTAAACTGTTATAAATAATAAGTTAATTAATAGTTTAAATCTGTTAAATTAAGTTTTAAATAATCTATAAATTTTATATAAAATTTTGATAATTTATGGAAGCAATTCTATAATTAAACTAGAATAGTGTCCATTGTTCTAGAAATTGGTTTAAATCATTCTAAATTTGTTTAAACTGCTCTAAATCAGTTAAAATTGGTTTAATAATTAGCTTAAATCAAAATAAATTTAAAAATAAATAATTAGCTTAAATCTGTTAAGTTAAGTATGTATCTAATTTTGATAATTCATGGAAATTTTTTATATAAACTAGAATAATTTATATAAATGTGAAATGGATATAAAATAAATTGTTAATGATCGGAATGATGGGTCTATTTTTGTAATATAGGGTAAATGTCTTCAATGGTGTGGCGATTATGTGTTTTTGAGTCTGTGTTCTGATCAAAGTTTCGTGATTTAGGTATACTGTTGGCAAACATGCTTCAGTTGTTAGAGATCTTAAGCAGAGTGATTTCAACCCGAGTGAGAAGTTCTGGACGAGGTTCCCACCGGAGGGTTCTAAGACTACACCGCCGCATCAGTCTGTGGATTTCCGCTGGAAAGACTATTGTCCTTTGGTGTTTAGGTATTCAATCTCTTGATGATAATGGCAGTTTCAACGTGTCTATCCTCAATTTGTGTTTGTGATGAAAATAGTTTTCTTTTGGTTTAATTTTTGTAGACGCCTGAGGGAGCTTTTCACGGTGGATCCTGCTGATTACATGTTAGCTATATGTGGGGACGATGCTCTTCGGGAACTGTCTTCACCTGGGAAAAGTGGAAGCTTTTTTTACTTAACTCAAGATGACAGGTTTATGATTAAGACAGTGAAGAAATCAGAAGTCAAGGTTAGTCGTTGGCTCTTGTCTTGACTTCTTTGGTTTTCTTTCTTTGCGTTTACTTTACATCCTTAATCATACACTTATGCTTAACCTCAAGTTTCTGTTTTCTTTGTTTAGGTGCTTCTACGTATGCTTCCAAATTACTACAAACATATCTGCCAATATGAAAACTCGCTTGTGACTAAGTTCTACGGTGTTCATTGCATTAAACCTGTTGGTGGCCAGAAGGTTTGTGCTGTTCATTTTTATTTTTGTAAAGACTATTTGCCTCCAGTGGAGAATTTTTCTAATGTTTATCATCTTACCAGACTAGGTTTGTCGTCATGGGGAACTTGTTCTGCTCTGAATATAGAATCCAGAGACGGTTTGACCTTAAAGGGTCTTCCCATGGTCGCTCCACCTCCAAACCTGAAGCAGAAATTGATGAAACTACTACTCTTAAGGACCTTGATCTCAATTTCTCTTTCCGTCTTCAGAGAAATTGGTATCAAGAACTAATGACGTAAGCTTTCCAAATCAGTTTTAGCTTTTCTGCTTATGCTATTTGGCGGAACTTTATTAACCTGATTGCATATCGATGAGCAGGCAAATTAAACGAGATTGTGAGTTCTTGGAAGCTGAGAGAATAATGGATTATAGCCTTTTAGTCGGAGTTCACTTCCGTGAGGACAGCACAGGAGACAAGATGGGTCTTTCTCCATTCGTTTTGAGATCTGGTTAGTTTACACACTTCCCAATCTTCTTCAAGTCTTTTTCTGCTACTCTTTTTTTATGTTAGTTGTTCATGTATCGTGCAGGTAAGATAGAGTCATATCAAAACGAGAAATTCATGCGTGGTTGTCGGTTCCTGGAGGCTGAACTTCAAGACATGGACCGTATCTTAGCTGGCAGGTACATCAATATTTATTCTTGGCAATCATCACAGTAAATGTTAATTTGACCCAACATGAGAGTCTTTTTGCATTCATAGTCATAGAGAGTGGTTGAGAGGTTCAGTTTCCCATTTTACGAATGATTCCATCTGAGAGCTACATTACATCCCAACTCATTATTGTATTAAAAGTTGCTTGGCAGTCTTGTGGGGGCTATCTCCATTGAATAGAAAACACAATAACTTTGTGGGGGCTAAACACAGATCATGTGTGGGGTCTTTTAGTGAGAAATGTATTGAAATTTTTTATTTTTTGCAGGAAACCGTTGATAAGATTAGGTGCAAACATGCCTGCAAGAGCAGAACGAATGGCTAGAAGAAGCGACTTTGATCAATACTCATCTGGAGGAACAAACTATATGTCACACGGAGAGGTGTACGAGGTGGTTTTGTACTTCGGAATCATTGACATTTTGCAAGACTACGACATAAGCAAGAAGATAGAGCATGCGTATAAGTCTCTACAAGCAGATCCGTCTTCAATCTCAGCTGTTGATCCCAAACTATACTCCAAGAGGTTTAGAGATTTCATCAGCAGAATCTTTATTGAAGACGGCTAAAGATAATAAAAGGTCTCTTCTTGTGTTTAACTCTCTGGAATTGAGAAAGCCAAAGATGCATATGCTGCTTGAGGAGCAAAGGAGACTTCATAGCTTGATGAGGTGAATTGAATTCTTTCATTTTATATTAATGAGAGTGATGAGTTGATCAGAAACAAATTTTTGGGTTGGGGTTTTTTATTATTTTTATTTTGGAGGAAGATATATGTGAATATAGATTTGTGAAGTACATAAGCTGAGGGAAAAAAAAATTGGGGAATAAGATAAGTTTAAATGAAAAGTATGGGTGGTTTATATTAATCCCATTTGTCTTAGTTCTCCCATTTTTATTTTATTTTTTGTAAGGTAATTTTATTAGTTGTGACAAAAGAAAAAAAGTTAAAAGATTTATTAAAATCTTCAAAAGAGGTCCCTCCCATATTCTCATGGGATCCATCTCCTTCACCATCCTTTTCACATCTAAAGATACTTTAGAAACAAACTGTTGTTATTCAAACTCTATTTCAAGTCACATGTGGTGTTGTTCACATACATATTTGGTATTTCTCAGTTTGTATAAGGATAATATTGAGGCAATTGTGATGATGATTGTTCATATGTGGAATATGAATCGATTGATGTCTAAGCCTATGCATATAAATAGAAACAAAAATATTTGGAGATATTGATAATACGAGAATATGTATATATTATGGTCAAAAGTAGAGTACTCAGAATAGTTTGGAATTGAGGAGGTTGTGTTATATCATGAAAAGAAGAGAAAGCGAACAGAGAAGACCACCACACATGTCTTCTTTTGTAAACTCTCTGAATAAACATCTCACGTTACCCTTTCTTTTTTCATAGTATTTAATTACTATACAGTTTTATGCTTGTTGATGTATTTTTGACTATTTTTATGTAAATTCTCCGGTCCGATCTATTCAGTTAGTACCAGTCCACGTTGCCTTGCAGTGTGGACTTTATAATGTAAATCTATCTTGAAGAGACTGTCTTTACAGTAGACAAGTCTGTGTTGTCGAAAAATATAGACGAGTATGAATATATTTTTACAAATGCATGCTTACTTTGACACACTCGACATAATCAGAAATCTAAATTAAAATTCTGGTTTGTATACGGATATTTTTAATAAAAACCAACCATTTATGATCCAATCCAGTCGATAAAGTACAAATGAAAAATCTCTACTTGGGAGTTGAGATTATAGTAAAAGAAAATCAAATCCAAAGAGTAGAGCAAGGACTGTAAAAAACTTTTAAGAAGTCAAATCACAGACCGATTAAAAACTAAAAGGAATAGATTTTTGAGCAATTTATGAAGGAACATGTATCGTTGATTTTCTTCGGATCAGTCAAGATTAATACACTATCTTTCGTCTATAATATATTCTATACTAGAATTGTTCTGTTTTAAAATAAATTATAAAATAAAAAATAATGTTTCATTGGAGGAACATAAAAAAAAAACATTTATCTGTTTTTAAAAGAAAAATATAATGAAAATACTACTCCACAATCTACACTTTTAGTGATTAATTAAATTTTTTAAATTAAACTACAAAAAAACATACGAGCACTGAATGAACCTTCAGGATTCTTGCGAACCAAGATTTAAGTTACAAGGTTATACTCCTGCAAGATTACATACATCGATGGGAGGATAAAAAAAGACACGATCCCGCATGCAGGTGACAAGTCAAAGTTTCATTTGTCCCTCTTTCAAAGCAAAGTATATTCTCGAAGAGTTGATAACCTAAAGTTTTACTATGTAATTATACAAAAGTTGACATTGCAAATAACAAAAAAGGTACAAAACTATTAACAGAGACAAAAGAAGAAGATATAATACGTACTATCTGAATAAATTAACTATAAAAGAAAAGAAACAACTGTTCGCTAAACGAGAAAATAGGAAAAAGACATAGCTCTGAACAGTAGCTAGGTCTGCCAAAAACTTGCATGCCTAAAAAGCTTTTAAATTTAGTTTCACAAATATCAACAATCTTTCGTATTCGTAGGTTAACTATTTGTTTCTCATGTTACCTTTGAAAAAACATAGATAATAGTATTATTTACTGATTTGAGCATTAAGCTTGCGAAGAAGATACAGTATGATCTTTCTCATGTGAGGTCTGCCGATCTGTCTTGTTTTCTTCTGTCATGTTTGTCTTCTTGAACTTATTTAAGTTTTTACACCAAAAAAAAACTTACTTAATATTTAAATTTGTATTCTGATTTTCCTGTGTACATATAAGTGTTTTATACTATGAGGAGTTTTGGATATGGATATTAATCTTTTCTCTAAATTGAAATCAGCCTTTGCTAATATTAATTACACAGCATGAACTTTTCTTTCACCAGATTTCAGATTAGGAGTACAATGGTACCAACGCATATATTTAACTACAAGCATGTCAGTGATATTGTATGCCAGATTAAATTTAGAAATATGACACCCAGTGGTTAAAAATTATTAATGATCGATAGTGAGATAAACTAAATTTGTGTTGATGATATATGGATCACTATTCAAGATCGTTTTGTTTTAGCATATTAGTAACAATTAATTGTAAAACGTTTAGGAAGATTGTTGTGGTGTTTACTGCGTAGTCACTCTTCACTCTTAAGATATTAAACCTAATAATGTTCTCTTTATAAACAATTCATTCTCGGCGATCTATGCAAGACATGTGTAGGCAAGCGTTTTGTCAAATTGTCTTCAATTTTATACAGTACTATGTAAGTTATTGATAAAATTTAAAACCATTGCATTCTTTGCAGTGGAATCATCCCAATGTAATGCAACAGAATCCGAATCCAGGTGAATCTTCTTTACCACGCCTTTGCTACTTGCCTACGTTGGTTATCCCAGTTATTTTATCCAAGTCTGATAGATTTAATTAATAGGCTCTATGAGAAAACGTAATGCCATCCAAGTTGTTCAACGATAGTAGATCAATGAATTTCAACTCCAGATCAAATTAAAATGCAATTAACTAGTAGTGTTTTGAGCTTATTTGATATTACTATATTATGGCAGATATAATAATATATTTGAATTGTGAGTTTTGGAATGAGGAACGAGGAAACTTTCAAAGGCCTATTATTGGAAAACGTATCAACGTGAAAGTCAAGCCTACTTACTGACCTATTAACCAACTTTTGTTGAATAATTTGAGCTATATACTATAGGCTTTCTCTCACTTTATTAGTCTCCTTAAAAGGCAAAACATAAGTTTTGTTTATACTTATCTGAATATCATAAACCAATACAAAGACTAATCCATAGCTCTCTGAATAAATTTTACAACGACCAAGCATGAGATCAAAGATTTGACACATTCGAGGCAAAAATTAATAAAATGAAGACAGAGAGCGATGGAAAATTTAAGTGGTCTCAAGTTGTCTGGAACTTAAAAGCCACCAAATATGGCCATTGGTATTTTTAATGGGCACATTACTTCACCTTCCAACATAGGGTTCCACTATAAGGGGACACAGCCTCTCAGCCATCCTTTTCTTATCATTCTTGCATACTTACTATTTTCTGTTCCATGAAAGCAGTTTAGTTTCTTCTACTTTAATTTACACAAACAAATATGATTATACTTTTTGACAAAAAAAAGATTATATATAGTTTACAGATTATACTATGTTATTACTAAAGTGTTTTCAATTATATTTGTATCATTAGAGAATATCTAACTCCGCTCCAAAATAAAATCCGATTAGAAATACTCTTATATGATAAATATATATCACTAGTTTATCTTTACAATTTTAGATATAGAAGTATCAAATCATAAATGTTATTCTTCTTTTTTGGCGGTGAATGTTATTCCGAAAAACTAATGAGGATAATTAAGATTTATATGAATGTTATAATAGTTGTGAAAAAGATAATATTGTTTTGGTAAATAAGTTCAATTTAAAATGTTATAAATCATTTATACAAGACATATATCATGATTTCTTTCACAAGTTGCTGAGGATATTTAGTTTTAGTTTTTTTAGACTCGTAATTTTTCATATATTTATTCTTTAAATATCAACAGATCGAGATGTGAAAAGAATGGAAATATAATTCAAGAAACATAATTATTTCCAATAGATGAAATCGGCCAGCAAGAGCAGAAGTAAGACATGTAAACCTAACACTAATGATGGTGTCTTCTCTTCCTGAAGAAAACCTCATGATACAGGACGCGTATTGTTTTCTTTGTTTCCAACCACCAGATTTGGAACTTCATGTTGTTTTCTGCGTGTGTTTAAAAGAATGTCCCATTTTTTTTTTTGAACTTCAATATGATCATGGCTTTCACTCCCGACTTTAATCTGAAGTCTTAATATTTCAATTCACCACAACAGTTTAATATCTCTATAATATTATTTGAGAAGTCAGTTTCCTACGTGTCGCGCTCACGTTAACTCTCGCGATGGTTGATTACATAGATACCCTTAATGAATTATTAGATTTTAAGATTATTATTATTTTTTTTTTTACCTTTTTCCAAATAACATATATAATAAAAAGGAAATATTTCTAAAATTTTTAAACAAATTTGAAAACGAAAATATATGTATATAATAAGACTTTATTAAAAAGGAAAGTTCACAAAATAGTAATACCCCTATTAATATATATTTTAACTTATATAAATATATTTTAAAATACTAAAATATATATATGTTCATGAACATCTAAAAATTTACCAGTTACACTTTATTTTCTAATATTTTTAGAAATCAACATATAATTTGATAAATATTACGAAAATACATGTATATTTAAACGATAAATAAAACTAATTTGATTTGACTTAACTAAATTAAAGAGTAAATAAATATTATGAAAATACATGTATATTTAAGCGATAAATAAAACTAATTTGATATGACTTTACTAAAATAAAAAGTAATTATACTTCAATTTTAATTTAAAAATATATTTAACTCAATATACTCACAAGATGAATGACTCGACTGATCTAATTTATATCCAAAATTAAACATCTTATAATTTTATAATAATAATATATTTAATTTTATACATATAAATTAGAGGTTGACTCAAAGTGTATTAAAAAAAAAGAAAATATTAATCAATTATATGCATGAGACTTTAAAATATTATCATTATATTCATTTATGTAATTTTGAATCAAACACTTCAGCTTATTATTTATTTCAATTTAAGCACAACATATATTAATTTATACATAATTTGACTATAATATATTTTCATATATAAAGACAATAACCAACCGAAGTAAAAATAAGAAAATTAATCAAAGTTTTATTCTATTTGGGATTAAAATATTATAGCTGAATTTGAAAAATAGATATTATCCAATATACCAAATTGATAACCAAACCGACTATTGATCGAAAAAATAATTAAACCGATAATAATATATCCAAGTCATATGTATAATTAGAATAATGTAATATTTATTAATATAAATTATACATATAAATTGATTCAAAACTAAAACTAAAACTAAATATCAATCAGTGATTATAAAATCTTACTTTTATAAATATTCATACCCGTGCAGGAGCACAGGAAAATCACCTAGTTTATAAATATATATCATGACATGTAGTCACTCGTTTTTTTATTTGATTACTTGAATAAACATATCCAATAACACATCATTTGATTGATTGCAGATGGGTACACATATTTTTTCATAACGGTTATGATAATATCAACAATACTAAATAACTACATAAAATAATACCAATATAAATTATAATAGATTTTGGTGTGTGTGTGTGTGTATGAAAGTATTAATGACTTGGGTTGGATGTACCGTGTGTGCGTCATGATGTAACTCTAGATCAACCATGCAAGTTCCACATTTAGTAAAGGTTTGATCATGGCCGGTTTCACTTTCATGTAATAGTTTGTTCTTAGAATTCTTATTTTTATTTTCCTAAACAACCCTCGTTTTTATAACCAAATATAATATGGATTAGAATCAACATCATTCTCAAAATTAATCTCCAACATGTAGATTCATTATGTTTTTATATATGTTATATACTTCTAACCTTTTATCATATCTATTCAAATATTTTGACGTATACATCTCCAGTTCTCCTAGTATCATCAGCAACACATTTTTATAGGGAGGGAACAAATTTTCTCTCGAAATAATTGTTGAGCTATGTATATCTATCAGCTTTATGTTACATGGTCGTAATATGAATGCCATTATAATAATTGTATGGCTGAAAAAGATGAAAACAAACGAAATATAATCTTAAGTGGATGGATATACAAGGATGATATTCATTCAAAGATACTTGTATTTGTGTTTGTGGCAACTTCTTGAATTGTGGTGGGTTGGTGGGGGCATCTTCCATGTTCTACCCAAATGCTATGATATCTCTACTCTTATTGCATTTCATTGCATAAAACGCTCGTGATCATGGGACACTCAAATAAGTATATTTTTTTCGAATTCAAAATAGACTTGATAAATAAATACAGACAAAAAATTGACAATAAACATTTTATTTTGTTTCTGTTTCTCTCTTTTTGTTCCATTATGTGGTAGTTATCCAAGCTTGGCTTTGCATCGTTCTACAATAGCTTTATACCTTTTTATATTTTATATACATGTTAATAATTCGTTGCACAAAAAAAAAATACATGCTAATAATTCAAAACAATAGCTAAAAACTCTTGCCACATATTTCATCTATATTTGTTGATTTACGTAGTTCCATGGATTTTTCTATGAAATATCTCTTGTTTTTTTCTTTTTGCTTTTTACATGAAAGGTTTCTTAAGGGCATATATCTTGTCAAGTAGTAGAAAGTGGAGTATATATCACGAGTGCAATTACAAACTAGACAAAATAAAATTGAAGGAAAAAGAAAAAGAAAAGAAAAGAAAAGATGGATCACATGGCTGTGGGCCCTATTAAATGGCCCATAGAATAACAAAGGCCCACATAAGTAATGGTTGAAAAAGCAAAAAAAAAAAAACGTAGAAAATGACGTGTAGGATGATTAGACGAACAAAATAAATGGACAAGTAGAGATGACTATTAGTACATAAATGTAATCGGGTCAAGTAGGCATCGACTAGTCCATTTACCAAATTGGTCTGCTTGTTCTATCAATTTCATAATCGTTTGGTCTCATTTCTTGGGATTCTATACTTCGATTCTTGTCCCCATGATTCGTGTCCTATCTCATATCATATGTTTTTTTTGTATCATATAAACAAAATATCAAACGAATAAATGAAGCTTTTGTATATATAGAAAATATAAATTTTGTTTGTAGCGTTTATTGCAATGGTGACCTTAGATTCTCATGATGGGCTCCTAAACAAATTAATGGGCCTCGTGATGGGCTACAAGATCACGAGGCTCGGTGACCAAAAAAAAGAAGTTGGTATTAGGCTAATTTTTGATTCTATGTTCCGAGGATAACAAATGAAAACAAGAGACTAGAAGAGAAGCTAGAGAGAGTATTACAACAGAACAAAGTTCAAGAAACAAGATCATGTTTACTAGGAAGTTCTCTCCTTCATCTGCACTAGCAATTACAAAAAAATAAAATCATAAACCTCAGACAAATCATGTCTTCTTATTTGATCATTTTCATCCCACAACAGAGTTGTAAACTGATCCCACAGAGAGAGGTTTCAAAGGGTTCTTCTACTTGCGAGGAGCTTTCTTCTTTCCAGCAATGGCAACTCTCTTTCCCTTTTTAGTACGAGCATTAGTCTTAGTCCTTTGTCCTCTACAAGGCATCCCATGTCTATGTCTACTTCCTCTGTAACAGTCCACTTCCACCAGTCTCTGTATCTCCGATCCAACGCGCCTCCTCTTCACACCAACAAACAAAACAAGTTTTTAAAAAATTAAAAAAAATTAAGAAAGAGTAATGATTCTGAGAAAATGTTTTATTTTTAGTTTTTACCAACTCATCACCATGTTGGTGCATGCCAACTTCTTCACGGAGGTCAATGAGTTCTTTACCAGTTAAGTCTCTGGCGAGTTTGTTAGTGATGCCTAACCCACAGAGAACCTGGTGAGACTTACGTCGTCCGATTCCGTACACTTCTTGAAGACCGGTCTTGAGGGGCTTCTGGTTTGGAACCTCTGCGTTTCCGACACGGATCCCTTGGACACGCAGTCCATGAAACTGCATAGAAAAAAGACCAAACTATAATACTTAGAACAAAGTAGTGGCTTTAAAAAGATTTGATTCACACTAAGAATTTACTAAAATTACTAAGAATTTTACTAAAATTTCATTTTTAACGATTAGAGAACTCTATGTTTTATGTATATTAATTCATTAAATTTTAGAAACCGTGACGGATGCAAGTTAAATAATCGTAACGATAATTCAAGACCAGAACAGAAACATAGTGTGGGATTGCACTTAGACAAGCCAACATATATTATCATCAGACCGAACTCAAATTATTACCGAACATATATTAAAAAAAAATCGAGTTCAAACACTTTGAGATTCAATACAAGCAACTGCTTCAGAAAGAAAAACGAATTCTAGGTCTAAAGAACAGTTAAAAATCAAATGCTGAAGCAGATGAATCAATTCGATATACTGAAACCCTAGTCTGAGATCTCTGAGAAGAGAGACTGATGGAAATGCTAGGAACCATACATTGAAGTGAATTCGAATTCTAGAGAGGAAATGAAGAACTTACCGATAGATTACGAAGCAGAGATTGGCTATGGTCGAATAAGGTCGCCGCGGATCTGCGTAAACCAAACATCGTAGAAAGAAACTGTGTGTGTTCAGAGAGATTCACGGTGAAGGAAGGAGAGAAGGGTTTAAAGATTGATCAGTTTCCAACCGCCGTTAACGCTGCCGCGTTTTTAAACAAACGCAAACGCAAATGCGTCTCTCCTCCCTTTCGTTTATTGGGCTTCAGAAGAAAACTATTATTAGGCTTTTAGTTTTATTAGTAAATTTTCTAAATGTTGTAAAACAAATTCATGCCGGTGTTAATAGGGAACTTTGCATAATTCGTCAAGATCTTCCTAGTTAAACGTTGAATATAGCCTAATTTCTCTAGTCTACATGTAATGTAACGTTTCTTTAAAGATAGTATGGTAACAGTGCCTTGCGATATTATTAGGATTTTTTTGTTAAAAAGGGCAGACTTGTTCAAGATTTCATTTGTAGTAGAATTGATTCACAAACTAGAAACCACAAGATCACTAACTCTAGGTATTTTAGCTTATTGGGATAAAACCAGATCACTTACTCTAAGCTATGCTCCATTCTGGTCTCTAAATGAAAAGAACTATGGGTACTCTTGGGTGTTCCTCAGATTACTAAAACTAAAGGATGAGGTGCTTCTCTTTTCAAGGATCCGAGTGGATAACGGTGATTCTAGCTACATTTTTCTGGTGGGATCTTTGGACGTCATTTGGTTTGACTTACTCATTTATTTGGGCAGGATGGTTCTTCTCATCTAGGCATTCCCTTATTTGCAGCAGTTGTTGAGGTTTGAAACGGCTCTAATTGGTAACTCCTGTCAGCTAGATCAAGTAGGCAATTACAACTTCCTGCTTTTGTCTCGGCTTTAACGTTTTCTGAAGGTTATGATATACCTATATGGTCTGTGAATGGCACATTGTCTCCAAGGCAACCTCCTTCTATTTTAGAACTAGTTACAATAGTTCAGGTAGGTGCAAAATGTCAAAAAAAAAAATTGGAAACTTTGCAAAATGACATTGTTTGCGAACTTTCATTGTTTAGTATTTGATTAATGTTCAAGTAAGTTAGTTCTAGGAAGGAACCCTGTTCTTCAAATTTCAGACGTTATTTTCACAAGACATAAGTAAGACGAGAGACACAAGACATTTATAATTTAGAACTAGTTACATCTTAGATTATATCACGAATAAAGACAAACTACAAGAGAAAGTTTTATATTATGATATTAGTGAGAGAGAGACTGGAGTTGACAATTGACCCTTGTGAGCACGAAACAACATTCATTCTGAAAAAAAAACAAAGAGAGAAAATATTCAGTAAGCGTCTCGCCGTCTCCGCAGTGGTCGGGACGTCCCTTGTTCGCGGCCATACGTCTTTCTTTATTTGGGAAGTTTCCTTCTGTGTTAGTTTTTAATTAAAAGCTAATTAAAGATCTAAAAGGTAACTACATGCCACATGCATGCCCGTAAGCATTTGAAGAATTTTATATAAAATAAATGGTAGGAGAGATTCTCATATTTACGGGAGAGATCAAAGCGTTTAGAATATAGCTTATGAGATCGATGCGTTAGAATATAGTTTACGTAAACAACCAAAGACAAAAGAACGTAACGTATGTGTATTGTTTTCATTCTCCATTTCTTATATATATTGTTGAGGCGATTCGAGACAGGAGGAGATATATACCATATCATTATAGAACCCAGAGGCGGCCTTGAATAGAAGCGGGCGAAGCACATGCTTCCGGCCGCCAAATATTAAGTATCATTTCGGCCACATTTTTGTCAAAAGTTCCTCTAGCCTACTTGGTAAACATTCTCCTTCAACTTTGTTGAGGTCATGAGTTCGAACCTTGATGGCCACATAATTTTTTTGGCTTCTAGCCTCCATATGTCTAGGACCGGCTCTGATATTTTTTTAGCTTCTAGCCTCCATATGTCTAGGACCGGCTCTGATAGAACCACTTCTTTATGGATAATGATACTTGCTTTTTGATGAGATACTTATGTTTCAGAAAAAAAAAAAAAAAAAGAGATACTTATGTTTAAAACGGTAAGTTGATAGAGAAATTGCACATATTAGTCTATATGAGATTTTAAGTTATGAGTGCCCAATATGTCGTGAAAAAAAAAAAGCATGGCTCTCGGAGCTATTACAACGGCACATATAATGTGCACTCATAAACTTTTCATGCAATTCGAATTGATAGCAAGAAAACATTCAAGGTATTCAATTACAAAATGACTTGCGAGTTACGATAATCACTGAAGTAGTAATTCATGATCTTTTAAGTCTTTAGTTACGTTTGTCGTATGTATTGTCTTCTTAGCTAATATGAAATTATTTCATTACTATTTTTTGTAAACTGAATATTTTATTACTCATTGTTAGCTGTTCTTTGTATTAATGTAAAATGCATACAAACCACGAATCTTGTCGGGCCAAACCGAAAATCCACTTTAGATCTTTTTACCTTTCTCGCATCGAAGAGACACTGTACGTAAATGTGTAGTTGCATTAAACGTGTTTTGTATGTTTTTTCTATCTTTTTCGTCACTGCCAACTAAAAGCGACACAATCACAAGTGGTTACTAATTTGGAAATCATCATTAGACGACAAAACGTTTAGCAGGCATGGTTGAAAAATAGCACATGGTGTGATGTCTGAACTAACACACTTATTAGATCACCAGTATAGCATAGTAACTCAATTTAAAGACAAGACACGAAAAGTTTTGAGTTACATGATGCTTTCATCATTTATCATTACCAACATAATCAACAACATAAACCATAACACACAATACATTATACATTGGAATACAAACTCTAACAAAAGCACCCAAATAACAATGTATTTACAAAGGCGATAATTGTTATTGACTTCCGAGTTTCCAATTTTTGATCAATTCTTAGAATATCAAGAGATCTTCCTTCACGTTGTAACCCATCTTCTCAAGATTAGGCTGCAACGCAAACTGAATCATAGGCGGTGGTCCACACGCCAGTGCAAGTGACTCACCTTCTAAACCTCCCGGGACATGTTCTCTAAGCACATCTTCGGTTATAAACCCAGTGCTATAGTTCCAACCTTCTTTAGCGATTTCAACAACGTACCAAACCTTTAGCCTCTCCTTATGCTTATTAGCCCATCCTTCTAGCTCTTCTCTCACAAGTATATCATCCTCGGTTCGGTTTGCATAAACCACATACATCTCGGTTTCATCCTCAGGATCACTTAATATTGATTGAATGACTTGGTAGATCGGAGTAATACCTGTTCCTCCGGCTAGCATGGCTAGTTTCTTGGCGAACTTGGGTTTACCGTTGACCATGAAGTTGCCTTTGCCTTGATACTCAATGTGCCCTAATGGACCTTTGATGTCTAAAACCGCACCGATTGATAACGAGTCTAGGTGTTGTGACATGAGTCCTCCGTTAGGGAATCTTGGATGAACGTCTTTGAAGTAAATTTTGACAACTAAGTCGATGTGGCCAACTGCGTCTACCGTGCTGGTCGGAGTATAGGCTCTTAGACAAAGCTTGTCGTTAATGTTTGCGCAAAGGAAGATGTGTTTCCCGACAGGTAGACCAAGCTGCTGATCTTCAGATGGTAACGCGAACCGGAACCTACGTACGTCGTGAGAGATAGAAGTCTTCTCGATGAGTTTGACCGGGACTTTCTCACGTGGGTTAACCAATGCAATGTTCTTTGGAGGAGCTAGCTCTTTGATAGGAGCTAGCAAAGAAGCTACGTTTGTGCCACCGTGGACAGATACATTAGGGGAAGAGTCGTATCCCGTGGTGATGAGTTCACCAATACGGTAATCTTCTAACAGCTTCTTGGCTTTGTCTGAATGAATAGCTTCAAACTCTTCGGTGCAATCAGTTCCTGCGTTGATGAGGATAGAATCAGTGCCTCCTGGATGATCTTTCAAGAAACGTGTACAGTCGTAGACGTGACCGTGAACTATGATCCATGCAGATTCGAGTGAGTTGTGTTTTCTAACGTCGGAGATTGAATACATCTTTGAGGCAGTGTTCATGAAAGGTGATGAAACTGATTTTTTCAAAGTAGGGTTTGACTCTGAGGATTTCTCAAGCTGACGTTCCTTTGCCATCCACCCACCCGATTGGTTTCCGGGTCGGGTTGGGTGTTCGAAAACAATCCCTATCTCTCCTTTGTGAGGCTTGCACACGTTGGTTCTGATCTTGAACCAGCAGTTGTTCATCATTCCCTGTTTAAACACAAGTCAACGTCAGTATTGCTTTAGTCAAACATTATAATTCTTGATCAGTTAGTTGGATACCATAGACTTCAGACTTTTCAAAGTTAAAATGAACTGTATAATAGTGATAATTAAAGAAATTTTCTTGGCTCCATGTTGTATTATGATGGTAGGTAACACTTTTTAAAGAAAAAAACTTGAAACAATATTAAAATGAACTGTATAATAGTTAAAGAATTTTTCTTGGCTCCATGTTGTATATGATGGTAGGTAACACTTTTTAAAGAAAAAAATCATGAAACAATATTACAGTATTTCCAACTTTGTAGGACGCAGACAAATACAAAAATAATCGAATTGTTTATACTAAAAAGGGATTAAACTATTTTCTCTAGTGAACTATTTTATTCTTGGTTAAAAAAACTATTTTATTCTATAAGAATATAATAAAAGAATTAAGAGAGAAAGAAAAGTTACCATGAGGTTCCAGATGAGTTTATCAGGCTGGGTGTTGAAAGACTCGTCCCAGGCTCGAACCGCTACTTCTTTAGCACTAAGCAGATCAAGAACCTCAACATCAAGTGACCAGAAACACCAACACCAGAACTTGCCATACTTGTTAGGCTTCTCTTGGTGGTCAAGCTCACACACACTCCACGTCTCTCCTCCATCTAGAGTTACTTCAACTCTCGTTACCTTCTTACCTCCTCCTGTTTAAACATCATCAAATATATTTACTTTGAACTTTGACATCTTAATTTAATTACCATAGTAAAAAAAAATAATTACCAGAGTAAGCATAGCCTTTTAATGTGTATGGCTTCTGAGTGGTAAATGCATTAATAGGTAGTATCTCTTCATGACCAGGTGTTGTTATCACTGAGTTTATATTAAGCTCGTTGATTACATATTCCGGCTTGTACCACCAAGCTGCAACACAAGAAGGTAATCAAAAAAATATTACCACGGTAAAAAGTGAGGAAAAGGTAAAAAAATAATTTACCTTCTGCATTTGCCAGCTCAGCATCGACAAGAGAAGGAAGAACTCTATTGTCTTTGTAATGATAATAACTGTCGGATTCTTGAGGCGTGACAATGATCCTTTTCAACCATTTAACCATCCTCCCGCCGATGAAACCGGGTGCTATGATCCGAACTGGAAACCCGTGATCCGGTTTAAGAAGCTCACCGTTCTGCATGTAAGCTAGTATAATGTCTCTCGCAGGATCCATGGCCATCTCTTTCTTGATGCTTGTTCCGTATTTACACCCCCCGCCTCCGGGAAGATCCTCTGCTCCTTCGAAGCAGACGTTGAGCGCGCCGCCTCTCCTGCTGTAGACCCCGCAGCGGCGGAGGATGTCACTGAGTGGAACCCCTTTCCAGAGAGAGGTGGAGACTCCGGCAGAGCCCCAGTTGAATCCTATCGTCTGCTTCACCATGTTCTGTTGAAACATTTCAATGTTATATGGGCCCATTTAAGAAATAATATATATATATATATATATATATATATATATATATATATATAATTTTTTTGTAGAGTGATCTACAAATATTAATTGTA